AACACAGTACCCTGGCTTTGTTGTTTGTTTCTGTTGTGGCTAACTTCATATTTTTAAATCCTTATAGAGCCACAAGAAGTTGTACAACCAGTGCAGAAAGATCCTGAGTATCCACCGCCCAGCTTGGCTTCCCTCATCAGCATCCCCAGCACATTATCAAAGCCAGAGGACAGAGTCAGGCCTGGTGCTGCACACATGTCACCCCAGCACTCAGAAGCCATGAGCAATGAGGGTCAAAAGTTCGAGACCAGCTTGGGGTACATAGAGAGTTCCAGGCTAACCTGGCTTTCAGGAGTTTTTGCTTCCAAAACACAAAGCAAAGCAAAAAGCAAACAAGAAAATCACATAGAAAATTGTGTAGAGGACAGTCTGAGAAACAGCCACAGGCCCCCTGAGCTCCATCTCTGTGTGCTGTCCCTCGTTGTTGTGTCTGACAGTCCTGTGAGTCCTCGTCACTCATATGTTCATAAGGTGGCTGAAGTACAGAAGCGTTGTCTCACCACAAAAGGGCTTTTTCCTTCCTTTCTTGAGAAATGTTAAAGATTTATTTTATTTTTAATTCTATGTATGTCCCTGTGTGGTATGGGAACAAAAGTATAGGTGTCCCCAGAGGCTGGGGCAGGTGCCTTGCAGGTAGTTACAGGCAGTCATCATAAGTTCTGACAGGGCTGCTGGGAACCAAACCCAAGTCCTTTCCAAGAGCAGCAAATGTTCTTAACTGCTGAGCCATCTCTGTCCTGGAATTGTACCTATGTAATCCAGGCTGTCCTTGAACTCACAGAGATCCACCCACTTCTGCTGGAATTAAAGTCACACACACACCAGCACTCCTAGCCTTTTGAGGCTTTGCAATGCACCCTTTGTCAAATTCCTGGCAATCACTGCTCTGCCCTCCGCCTTCCTAATTTTGTCATTTTGATGTTACATAACCAGAGAAGCGTGTGTACATAACATCTGAAGATTGGTTTCTATTTGTTTTATTTTGCAAGTATGTGTTTTGCCTGCTATGCATCACATGCATGCAATGCCTGGGAGGGCCAGAAGAGGGCATCAGATCCCCTGGAACTAGAGTCATAGATGAGTGTGCTGAGATTAGAACCCAGGTCTTCTGGAAGAACAACCAGTGCTCTTAACCACTGAGCCATGACTTTCTCCAGGCCCAGCTTATTCACTGCTGAGCAATGTCTCATTGTATGGTTTTATATGTATGTATCGTTTCTCCAGCCAGCCACCTGCTCAAAAACATCTGATTTCCTCCTGGAGGCCAATAAAAGAATATTTGGGGGCTGGAGGTGTAACTCATTTGCTAGAGTACTTGTCTGTCATGCACAAAGCCCTGGGATTAATTCTGAGCACCAAACAAACCAGGCATGATGGGATAGGATAGGCTTGGAATCCCAGCAAGATGATCAGGAGTTCAAGGTCATCCCAAGGGCTTATGGACAACCTAGAATCATGCAATCTCATCTACAAAACAAAGCAGGTCCTGGAGAGGTGGCTCATCAGTTAAGGGCACTGGCTGCTCTTCCAGAGGACCTGGGTTCAATTCTCAGCACCCATATGGAAGCTCACAACAGCCTGCAACTCCAGTTCCAGGAGATCAAATACCTTCTTTCTTCTGGCCTCCAATACAACACGTGTACATACATGAATACATGCAAAACACATACACACACACACACACACACACACACACACACACACACGTTAGTTGTTTCTTTAACTCAGTAACCACGGGTTAGCTTCCAGAGTAACTGAACCAGTTTACTGGAAATCCAGTGTCTGTATCCTCAGGGACCTTTGAGGCCTCCAGTGTTCTTCCTCTTTTCTTTCTTCCTCCATTCCTCTCTGTGGCATGTGCTTTTCTCCCCTCCCATCACGGCATTTGTAATTTCTTCTAACGGCTGCACCTCCCTGTGGCTCTAACTTGCTTCTTCTAACATTACTGATGCAGAACATCTATTTCTGTGCTTCTATGTATGCCTTGATGCCTGGTGGTGGGTCAGGGGGTGCCTTTCTTGTGACCTTAGTCACCCACAGAGGTGACAGTGGATATGCCCAGGTATGGCTTGACCTCATGGTGTTCAGGCTCAGAAACCTCAGGGTAGCTCAGGAAGCTTCCAGGAAGATGCTTGAAGCCTACATTACCAAGCATAAGCACCCTCCCTTCTGCCTGTTCCAGCAGACACACTGATCAGACCTACACCTTTGCTGACAGGCTCTCTGAGAGTTGGAAGGAAGCCTTCGGTCTCATCTTACCGCTGGTAATTGTGGAAGCTTAGCAGAGGGGAACCAGCCCCTTCACAAGGTTGTCACAAATGCTCTGTTATTCTGGAATATGGAAAGTACTGGACCTGAAGTGCTAAGTGGGTCCAAGAGGCCCATGGTTCCTGCAACATCCCAATAGGAAGTCCTGCAGCCATCAGACATACTGGGCTCTGACTCTGGGTGGGACCTGGGCTGGCAAGGTTCAGAGAGGGAACAGTTCTGTCTCAGTAATGATGTCCTTTTACCCACCCCCACATCACCCCCACCCTTGCTTACTTGCTTCCAGGACTGACTGAACATGAAGGTGAGATGGATCAGAGCCAGAGATCACCCTGAGGGCTGAACATCCACGGGGCAAAGGAGAGCTGTAAGGTCAGGGCATGTCATGGAGTCGGAAGGAGTGGCTAAGGCTACCTTTCTGGAGCCAAGATTCTAAAAGTAGGACCGCAGTCCTCTAGGGCTGCAAGGCAGACAGCATCCCCAACAGATATCCTGTCACATGTTCTCCAGGGGAGCAATGGGCTTCTCCAGAAGATTCCTTCTTTACCCATTGCTAACTCTTTGTGAGACTTGTCAGCTACTATATTAAGGATGGCCCACAGTGTGTTCATAAAGTGATGCAGGGGTGGGTGGCAGCTGTGGTTTGCATGTTGGGAACTGAACCTTGTGCCTACCAGGCAAGCTGCTCCACTGACCTCCATCTCCAGACCCTGCTTGTTGCTGTTAGTGTTTGTGGAGAAAGGCTAGCATTGAACTTGAGTCTTTCTGCTAATATCACCCCAGTGGTGGGATCCCAGGAGTATCCTACTACCCTGGGTATAATCAGGGTGTTTCTAGTTTATTGAATATTGACAGTGGGACCTTCAGGGAGTTACTTAAAACTTGCTCCTCATCTGTAAAGTGGGGAAATGACAGTTCCATCTCCATGGAGACACTGAGAAGGTTCAAACTTAAGATGAACACCAGGCTCAGGGCAGGGTCTTGTCTATGTTATGACAAGGGTCACTACCCTGTTAGCCCCACCCTCACACCTCTGGACTCCTTCACAAGTCTCCTGCTTTTAAATCTTTTTTTTTTTAGTTGTTTTTAATGAGGTATTATATTTATTTACATTTCAAATATTTTCCTTCTGCTTTTAAATCCTTTAAAAGTATTTTAATTATGTGTAAGCATCTGTGGGGACATAGGTGCTCCTGTGTATGTCTACCCATGAGACCAAAAGAGAGTGTAGGACCCCCCCAGAGCAGGAGTTATAGGTGTGAGCCTCCTGACATGTGCTGGGAACAGAACCCTGGTTCTCTGCAAAAGCAGCAATCGGTTTTTACTGCTGGGCAGTATCTACAGTCTCATCTCACCCTTCTTAGGACTTAGCACATAAACCAGTTTAGGAGTAGCTTCCCAGCACATAGCAAATGCCACCTTTGCGCCCCCTGGTGGAAGTGAGGGGTCCTTATAGCGGCAGGAGGTGGCATTTGCAGGGGCTTCCTGAGCAAGGAGGGCTGCCTAGTTGCTAAATAGTTGTCATTGTTGTTTGCTTGTTTGTTTTGTTTTGTTTTAAGACAGGGTCTCTTATATGCCAGGCTGGCCTTGAACTTCCTGGTCCTCCTGCTTCCATTTCCCAAGAGCTGGGATTGCAGGAGTGCGGCACCATGTCCTCCTGATGCGGTGGTAAACTTTCCAGGCCACTGCTCCTTCCTTTGTGGGGAACTGCGGCTAGTTCCCTTTTGTGATTGATGGATCCCACAGGTACAGTGCTGCCTGATTCACTGTCTGGTTAGTGCCTAGGCTAACAGATTCCACATCAGTAGAGGGGAGCTCAGAGTCAAGCATTTCCCCTTTCCCGGTGCTTTGTGGAGTTCTATGCTGATGATCGTGGGCTTCAGTCCTTGGTACTTTAAATGAACTCCAAAGCACCAGAGAGGCTGTGAAAGCACACGAAAGCCCGAGGTGGCTCAGCAGTCCAGGGACACAAGTGGGATAGTTCCTGGCTGGAAGATAACCCAGCAGCCTAACAAGGCAGTACAGTCCCTGAGTGCCTCCTGGGGTTTTCAGTTCCAAATCTGCCCTCTTGATCACATCGGCTAACCTCCTTATGAACCCCAGAAGGGAGCGGGGCTCCGTGTCTCCAGAAAGCCTTCTATGATTGACCACATTGGGTTCTAATCCATCTTCTGAACATGAGAGCTTGTTCCTGCGTTGTTCAGTTACTCCTTATTCTGCAAAGAGAACAGAATCCTGGATGAGCCATAGTGAGTCCTCTCTGCTCAGGCCACGATGGCTGACCTGACATTTGTGTTGAGAATTACTCACTCCTCCCGCTCCCTCTCCCCACCTCCTTCTCTTCTTCCCTCTTTCTCCTTCCCTCCCTTTCCTCACTCATATTTTCTGTCTCCCTCCTTCTTTCTTCCTTCCCCACCCTTCTCTCATTCCTTCTCTAACTACTATCTATCTATCCATCCATTCATACATCTCCATACCCATTACATATGATTCCCTGCATGGGGCTGCTGAGGAAACTCAGCTCAGAGAGGCTCAGCAAGTTCTCTGAGATTAAGTATTCAGGCAGGGTCCTGAAGATTCCTGATAGAACATTATCAGGCCATGAGTTCATAGTCAAACTGAGCTACACAGTGAAAGCCTGAGAAGAAGCAGAAGGATGAAGAGGTGAGAAAACACAGATGTGAGTTAACCCAGCTAGTGAATTAACCTGGCTCCTTTCATGATCCTTGTAGATGCCAAGGGAACCATTCGGGAAATTGTCCTGCCCAAGGGCCTGGACCTCGACCGACCCAAGCGGACTCGTACCTCCTTCACAGCAGAGCAGCTGTATCGTCTGGAGATGGAGTTCCAGCGCTGCCAGTATGTGGTGGGCCGCGAGCGCACGGAGCTGGCCCGCCAGCTGAACCTCTCTGAGACTCAGGTGAGAGCCAGGCCAGGTTTCCACCATCTGGTCCGGGTGACCTCCTTTGTGTATGGTGAACACCATACACCTGGGGAACTCCTTGGTGTACGAGGCCAAAGGCTGACATAGAGGGGCGTGACTTGAGAGGAATATACACATATGAGGGAAAAACTTAGAACTGCAGGTAAGACAGAGCCAACAGTGCCAACAAGAGGGCTGGGCTGAGAGTGGGAGCACATTCCTGTAATCCTAACACCTGAGAATGTGGGAGAAACATGAAGAATTGGAAGCCATTCTGGACTACATAGTGAGACCCTATAACAAAACTTAAAAGATAAAGAAGAAAGGAAGGAAAGAAGGGAGGAAAGAAGAAAGGAAGGAAGGAAGGAAGGAAGGAAGGAAGGAAGGAAGGAGAGAAATGGGAGGAAATTCCATGCGTAAAAGTACTTGTTGGACAAAGATAAAGATATGAGTTCAAACCCTCAGAACATACACTAAAAGTTGGATATGAGCACCTGTAATCCCAAGGCCCCATATGGAAATAGGAGACAGAGAATTAGACTCCCCCTACCCCCGTCTTGGCACAGCCATTTGTGGTATAGTGAAAAAGCAAGGAAACCCTGTCTCAAACATGGTGGAAGACAAGGACCAACACCCTAGGCTGTCCTCTGACCTCCCCATGCAGGCCATGGCTCACATATGTCCATATTGATACACATGGATATTCACAATCCACATATACAAATGGAAAGGAGAGGAGAGAAGGGACAGGAGAAACAGTCAAGTCTCAATAGAAGGGATCATTTATATGTAAGGAAAATGGAAAGGCCATAGAAATGGGGACAGTCAAGGTGCAGGGAGTGAATGGCTTAGGACCTGTCTTAGTCACAGTTCTATTGCTGTGAAGAGACACCATGACCAAGACAACTCTTATGAAAGAAAGCATTTAATTGGGGCTGGCTTGCAGTTTCAGAGGCTTAGTCCATCATCATCATGGAAGTGAACATGACAGCACACATATAACTGGAGCAGTAGCTAAGAGCTATATCCTGGTCCACATGCTGAGAAAAATATTGGCCCTGTCTTTAGCTTTTGAAACCTCAAAGCCTACCCCTAGAGACACATTTCCTCCCACAAGGCCACAATTACTCCAATAAGGCCCACACCCCTAATCCTTCTAATCCTTTCAAATAGTACCACTTCCTGGTGGCTAAGTACTCAAATATATAAGCCTATGTGGATCATTCTTTTCAAACCATCACAAGAGATATTGCCAGGTAAGAGATGCCTTGGGATGGTGACCAACTGGCTTCCAGGAAGCAAAGATTCCAAGGAGTGCTAGGCACAATGGCAGGAGCCTGGAGTCCCAGGTTCTTAGAGGCTGAGGTAAGAGGATCATGATTCAAGAGTTTAAGACCAGCCTAAGCAACCCAGGGTGAGCCCAGATAAAAATAACAAAGGATTCTGGGAAGAAATGAGCCATGACAGACCTCTCTGTTCTTCTTGGCCCTTTCTCACCTTCTGTTACCTTCCCTTCATCTTGAGGTAACTGAGTTCTTCTTGTGTAAAGGAAGAGTCAGACCCTCCTCCCCCATCCGCAAAGAAGGGCTGGTATTTTAACAGTAGCACGCTGGCTGGGGATGGGCCTCCGCTGGTAAAGTGCTTGCCTAGCATGCATGATGCTCTGGGCTGGACCCCAGCACCGTACAAACGGAGTGTGATGGTATACACCTGTAACCCCAGCACTCTGGAAGTGGAAGTAGAAAGGTCAAAAGTTCAAGGCCATCCTTGGCTACATAGTGAGTTGGAGGCCAGTCTGGGCTACATGAGAGTGTGTCTCATACCACCTGAATAAATATGCCCAGAGGAAGCAATGAGAAAAGATGAGTTTGGGTGAAGGAGAGGTGAGAGGCTGAGTCAGTGGTTCTCCACCAGTGCTCACTGGGACATCAAGTAGCTTTAAAGAGTGCTACTCTGGCTCTTCAGCAATTGTCTTCAGTACCAGTGCCTTGTCCCTGCCCTAGAAGTCCAGAGCAGCACACTAGAGGGACCGCTCCAGCATAGGAACGAAACAAAAGCCACCTTCCACACTCCAGATCCAGTATGAGCCCATGGCCGTTAAAGTGAATGTCTAGTATCACCCCTGCATTCATCCAGGAGATTGAGGCAGGAGAAAGCAGAGTCCAAAACCAGCCTGGGCGTCGTAGGGAAACCTTGTCTGATATCTAAATTATTAATATCATTTTTATTTTTAAATGAACAAGCCTTAGAATTGAGCACTAATCTCAAGCCCAAAGAGATATTCTTCTGGGATCAGGGGTGAGGGACCCCCAGCCCCGGAAACCGCACCCTCCTCTACTGTGGGCCTTGGTGGCCCAGCACAGTATCAGAACATGAAGCCACCAAGTATTCTTTGAGATTGAGATGTCCAAGATTTCAACCCTCAGAGACCCTCTTCAGGGCACTAAGTAGCCCAGTGGGGGCAGGTAATGCTCAGGAAACACCCCACAGGAGAGGGCCCTGGCCTTCCAGGAGTCATCCAGCAATGGCTTCCTGGAAGAGAGACAGAGTAGAGCCAGAAAGAATCAGTAGAAGAGGCAAAAGAAACCGAAGGCTTCTTGGAGAAGGGATGGTTCAGCTGAGCCTCATGAGGCAGCCTGAGGAGGCCCTGGGACTGATGGTGGAACAGAGGCTCGCCAGTGTTGGAAGTGCAAATGGGTTTCCTGGAAATCCTGATGCCTCTATCCTGACCCAACTCTGATAGAAAGTTTCAAAATGAGCTCTGGGCACTAGGGTTTACAATGTACACAGGGAATTTGTGTGCAGCCAGGCTTAAGAATCCACACATGATAACAAATGAAAAGCCAGGTCCCAGCCCTGGCCCAACCTTCCCCCAGGCTCCCCTCCACCTCTAGGATGAACTTGCTGGGAGTTCACCCATACCTTCCCCTCCTTCTGCACACAGAACTCGGCCAGGAAAGGACATAGTGGGGCGCACCCCTTGTCATTGTCACCCCCCTCTGCCTACAGTAGCTTTGTTCCTTTCTTAGCACAGGAGTCATGACGTTGGAGCCCTTCTCTCGTGGCTGGACCTGTGAGGTCCTGTGAAAGCCAGGATGCGAAAGGCTCCTGGCTCTTCGCTTCAGGCCTCTGGGCCCCTGCTCCTGCTTTTCCGCTGCCACATGCTGCCCTTGCTCATGTATGAGTAGGACATGTGACACAAGGGTATGAAGCTCAATTGACAGTTTGTCTAGCATGCACAGGACCCTGGGTTGTATCCCTAGCAAGGTGTACAACTGGATGTGATAGTATAGGCCTATAAAGCAGCACTGTAACCCCAGCGGCGGGTTCAGAAGTTCAAGGTCGTCCTCAACTACAGAGCAAATTCGAGGCCAGCCTGGATACCTGTCTAAATAAACATAAATAAATAAGTAGCCCTTAGTTGCTCGGCTCGGGTCACAGTTTAGAGGTCTGAGCCAAGGGCAGTTGGGAATTACCTACACATAAGTGATGTCTACGACCAGCCGCTTGCCTGAGAGCAGAAGATCCGAAAACTCTACCTTCTGTAAACCAATCTGATCCTGTGGGCCAGCGCCAGAGCAGCGGTGAGGGGGTATTTACACCTTGAGGCTTGACTCAGCTCCTCAGAACAACCTGGTGTGAGAGGACACTAACAATCTGCTCTTCTTTCCTCCCCTGCCTTCCCTACCCTGGTGCTGCTTTACCCCACCCCACCTCTGAACTTCTTCTCCTTTTCTCTTGGCTCCACCTCCTGCCCCTCCCTTTCCGGCTCCCCTGTGTGACCTCTGCCCCAAGGTGAAGGTCTGGTTCCAGAACCGCCGCACCAAGCAGAAGAAGGACCAGAGTAGAGACCTAGAGAAGCGGGCATCCTCCTCTGCCTCCGAGGCCTTTGCCACCTCCAATGTTCTGCGGCTCCTGGAACAGGGCAGGCTGCTCTCCGTGCCCAGGGCTCCCAGCCTCCTAGCACTGACCCCTGGCCTGCCAGGCCTTCCCGCCAGCCACAGGGGCACCTCCTTGAGTGACCCCAGGAACTCCTCCCCACGCCTCAATCCAATGCCCTCGGCCTCCTCATCGTCCCCTCTGCCACCCCCGCTGCCAGCCATCTGCTTTTCCGCAGCTCCACTCCTGGACTTGCCTGCGGGCTACAAACTGGGGTCCTCAGCTTTTGAGCCCTACAGCAGACTAGAACAACAGAAAGTAGGCAGCCCTGGCCAAAGCGACAAGAAAGCTGACATTTAAGAGTCCCATCCCCGTGTGACACTGAGTCCTCAGCACAGCACTACCCCAGCCTCGTGGCCCCGGTGGACTATACTGAGCAGGCCTGGAAGAGGAAGGGTGGGCACAGCATGCGCCTCTCCACCTGCCCTCAGCTCAGAGACTGAACCAAACGACTTTGGTCCTAACGTACTCTCTGATGTGTGAGTGCTATGTGTGTGTGTGTGTGTGTGTGTGTGTGTGTGTGTGTGTGTGTGTCACTGAAATAAAGAAGGGAACTGGTCCCAGCATCACCAACTCACTCCCTTCTGTCCCTGTCCTCAATGTGTAACAGAACGGGAACCTCAAAAGGGAGGGGTAGGCACTGGGGCTGGCGTCCACAGTCATGGGTCCACAGTTGACAGCTTCCTCCAGGCGCCACGGCCCTGCAACATCCATGCTCTCCCTGGTTAAGATGCTCCTATGTAAGTTTTCCTTTCAGACTTCAAAATACTTGTTGAGGTGAGCAGTAAGTCCTTCAAGGGAGTGAATGATACAAGGTGAAAGATCTGGGAGGGCGTCAGAGGAAAGCCAGAGCAGGCCTGAGGGCTGGAGGGCCTGTGCAGCATGAAGCACTCAGGAAAACCTCACTCTCCTCAGATCACTTTCATGTAACTTTTTTTCGTAGTAATAATTATAGATTCGCAGGAAGCTGTCCACCCACTGCACCACTGACTCTTCTAGTTACTGTGACAATGCACGTAGCAGAAGCGAGGTGAGGAGGGAAGGGTTTATTCTGGCTCATTTATTTTACTGAAGATGCAGTCCATCTTGGTGGGAAGGCACAGCCACAGGCGTGAGGCAGCCGGTCACACTGCACCCTCAGTCAGGAAGCTGGGGCAAATGCTGGCGCTTGGGTCTCTTCCTCCTTTTTCTTCACTCTGGGACCCCAGTCTGAGGGTTGCTGTCACTCTCAGCAGGGTGGGTCCTCTGTCCTCAGTTAAAACCCTGGAAATGCCCTGACAAATGCCCGAGGTATGTACAGTGGGGTGATTCTAAGCCCCATCAAAGTGACCATCGATTACCCATCATGCCTCACTGCTAACTTGGCACATAAACATGTCACCTTTAAACAACAGTCCTGCACCCTGGTCTCTAAAGTCTTATGTACATTTAAAGCATGTTTAGTCCATCTTTAAGAGTTCCTAAAGTCTTCACAATTTCACAGTCACTCAAAGTGTGGAGATTCACACAAACTCAGACAAAATCACTGAAAGATCTTTAAAAAAAATACATGCTTTTTTTTTATTTTTATTTTTTTTTGAGACTGTGTTTCCCTGGCTATCCTGGAACTCACTCTGTAGACCAGGCTTGCCTCAAACTCAGACATCCACCTGCCTCTGCCTCTTGGGATTAAAGGTGTGAGCCACCACTAGACACTTTCAATACATGGTGGCACAGAGTAAGTTTTCGAATTCCAAAAGGGATGAATAGAACTGTCTTATTGTTTCATTGTTGTGAAGAGACACCATGACTAAGGCAAGTCTTATAAAGGAAAACATTTAATTGGGGCTGGCTTACAGTTTCTGAGGTTCAGACCATTATCATCATGGCTTGAAGTATGGCAGCACCCAAGCAGGCATGGTTCTGGAGAAGAAGTTCTACATCTTGATCTGTAGACAGCAGAAGGGATCTTTCTTCCACAGGCAGCCAGGAAGGAGGAGGCTCTGATTCCACACTGGGCAGACCTTGAGCATAGGAGACCTCAAAGCCCGTCTACACAGTGATGCACTTCCTCCAGCAAGGCCACATCTACTCCAATAAAGTCACACCTTCTAATAGTGTCACTCCCCATGGGCCAAGCATTAAAACACATAAATCTTTGGAGGCCAAACCTATTCAAACCATCACATAAAAAAAAAAAAAAAAAAAAAAAGGATTGTGCCAAAGTAAGCCCAGAGTCCAGCAGGGTAAATACAAATCTGTAGCTCCAGCATCTGGGACCAAGAATCCAGACAGAGACATCAAGGTGCTAATGGGCTTGGATAGCTCTGTCCCTTAGTTCTGCCACTCACAGCACATGTGCGCTAACTTGACCCCGTGCCTACAGCTCTCCTCAACAGACATCAATGGCCCTACCATCTCCATCACAACTTCAGCTTTACCCTCGCAGTTTCATGCAATGGCTTCTCAAGGCCTCCTTACAGGGGATTCAAACCTGACACACATGACCTGGCCTTAACAGCTTTCTAGAACCTTGTGCAAGCCTCCACAACCTTGTAACTCCTACATTTTATGCCTGTAAACCCACCAATGTGTGGATGCTGCTGCCAAGTTCTGCTATCAGCCTGAGATGTGGTCTGGTCCCTTCTACCACAGCTGGAGTGGCTCTGTGCTCTCCAGCAGCCAAAGATCAGAAAACACTAAGGAGTTCCTCAGTGCTCTCTCCTGTGAAATGAACTGGCATTTTCACAAGTTGGCGCTTCTGATGGGCTCACTTGGCTTCTGAGCCTATTTCCTATTGTCCCAGAGCAGAGCGCCATGATTCTCTTTAATGGCTCCAACCTCTCTTACAGTGGCAGCTGCTTTTTGACCCTGCTTTGGCTGTAACAATAAACTCACTGTCTTCTTTGAGAAACTGCACACATCGTATCTTTGATCTGCATGCTGCCGTCCCTCACTGCAGACCTGCGGAAGAGTGATAAACAGGAACCAGGCTACAGCCTAAATGCTGTCCTGATGTTTTAATTACTTTTCTATTGCAGTGATAAGCACCACATCCAAGGCAATGTATAGACAAGTTCCTTGGAACTCATAGTTGCAGAGAGTTAGAGTCTATGGCAGGGTGCATGGCAGCAGGCAGGCAAGCATGGTGCTGGAATAGCTCATGTCCAGATCCACGAACAGAAAGAAGCAGAGACAGAACACTGGAAATGATGCAAGTGTTTTGAAACCTCAAAGCCCACCCCAAGTGCCACACCTCCTTCTAATCCTTCCCAAACAGTTCCACCAACTAAGGACCAGGTATTCAAACATTAGCCTATGGGGGACATTCTCATTCAGACCACATACCTGCCATGAGATTTCCTCTGCAAAACAGATTAGTCTATTAAACTCTTACACCATTCTAGGGCTGAAAAACTCTTTCAAATTCCTCTCATGAACCAGTTGCAGAGGCCTAGGAACCACCACATGATCAGGTTTATAGTAACACCCCCACTCCTGGTACCAGTTTTCCATATTAGTTACTTCTTTGTTGCTATGACAAAGTAGCTGGTAGAAAAAAACTTAATGAAGGAAAAGCTTATTTTGGTTCATGGTTTGAGATTGCAGTCAGTGTTGTGTTTTATAAAAATACATATATATAGAGAGGGGAATATGTTGGTGGATGCGTAGTCAGGTGTGGGGGAAGGGGGTGCCACTGCAGGTCCATGCTAAGGCATCCCTTCTCCCTGAGGGGCCAGCCATATGATGGTATATCATAGAATAGAGTTTATCCAGGGCATGGGGAAGGGAGTTGAGAGGGTAGTAGAGGCAGAGAAAGGAATGGGGGAGGGAGGAAGGGAGAGAGAGAAGGAGGAAGAGAGAAGAGAAATAAAGGAGTAGAGGCCAGTCATGAGCACATGGAGAGAGGGGGGATGGGAATAGGAGAGAGGGAGAGCAGGAGCAAGGGGACAGAGCATGAGCAAGAGAGTAAAGCAGGGGCAAGTAGCCCCTTTATAGTGAGTCAGGCATACCTGGCTGTTGCTAGGTAACTGTGGGGCAGAGCCATACAAAATGCAGTCAGTATGGTAGGAAGACATGGTGATGGTGGTAGCAGTAGTGGGGGAGGGATGCTGGCTATATTTTCTAGATGATTCTAAGTCCTGTCAATTTGGCAGTCAAAGTTAATCATCACACCTAATTATCCACAATGGTAGCATTTTTAATATGTAGCATACTTTCACACACAAAAGTAACACTGGGACCACGGGTATAAGCTCACATCATTTCTTCCTCTCTATAAACTCATGGAAGCATGCAAACAGCAGTCTGTTCCTTTACAGCCACACACGACCCCCAACAGAAGAGTTCTTTGACAGAATGGGAAGCATGGGAGGGGGGAGCAGAGACCTGAAATGGACCAATGCTGGGGAGAGTGGCAGGGAGGGCAGCACAGACTGATTCAAGGAACATGGCAACTTCCTGCAGGCGGTGGCCTGTCACTGGCCAGAAGGTGACCCCTAAGATGATAAGATGATGGATCTGGAGAGGGAAGGGTGCCCAGGTGTGGCTGAGGACAAAGGGCACAGGCTGAGAAGACAACTTGCAAAAGTAGGGCATGAGGAGACCAAGGAGCCATATGGTAGGGGACAAGGACTTGTTAAAAGAAGGAGAAGCTGACACCACCTCACTATGGCAACTGTGCTGAGGGACCTTCCGACACAGAGGTTAGAAAAGGTGCTGTGTGCCTTGCTCTGTCCTTCACTGCAAGCTTTCAGGACCGAGTGGGGCAGCCACTACAGGCTCTGCTCAGCCCGTGCCTGAGAAACCTTGGGAGCTGGTGTGTGCCAGCTTCCCTGTTTACAGTCAACCTGGCAGAGGAGAGGAGGAAAGTAGAGACATAAGGAAGGGGAGGGGTGGCTGCTGGCACAGGCTGAGCAGCCTGTTCCAGCTCCAGCTGAAACTGAAGTCTACCACCAGTCTTCTCAGGCACTGACTCCCGGCTCCCAACACACCATGGCCACAACAGTAGACAGCAGGGCCTCGGGATTCACTAGCAATAGCTGTGACCCAGGCACAGCCCGAGAGCATGTGCAGGTTGTGACCCGAAACTACATCACCCACCCACGTGTCAGTGAGTATTCATGTCCAGCTGGTGAGGGCAGTGGGCTGCTGGGATCACTGCTTTTTGCCTCAGAGAAAGAGGACCAAGACCGCGGGAGGAGATCAGGGGCTCCGAGTCCAAGAGCGGTCGGTCCTGCATCACCTCTACCAGTAGAGCCTGCACATGGGTCACCTCTGCAGGTGGCGGGAGGGATGGAGGTCCCCATTCAGGCTGGCCT